AAGGGAGGCATTGCACCAGGAAAATTTTGGAATTTTAATCCTCGGAAATGCGATTTCCAGCATTTTGAGAGCATCGAGAAGACATATGATGCATTAAATTTATGGAAATTTTGCTTAACAATGAAAAAAGGCATTTTTGATCGTGACAATTCAAAGTCAATAATAGCGGAGCTCCCGCGCGGGCCAAAGGCCAGCGCGAGCGGAGCACCATAACTAAGGAAAAATGGCAAACCCATGGAGTTGAGCTGTGATCAACCGACACAGGAAGCCCAGTTGTCCTTCCGTACGTTCGTCCGTCCGTCCGTCCGTGTACATCGCGATTCTGATTGGCTACTTTTGAGAAGGCGGGAAAAGGAAGCGCGCTCGCTGAGTGTCGCGCTTGCGTCAATTGTTGAAACAACTTTTTCACCAACTTTTTCACCATTTTTGTCCTTTCAAACTTTACTTCTGCGCCAAATGTCGGAAAATCAACGGGTAGCTAACGGAAAGCGATCTTTATCTGAAGAAGAAAAGACAAGAAGAAGAGAAAGAGAGCGTCGAAGAAGTCTAAGTGAAGAACAACGCAGTACAGGCTTGAAAGGGAAAACGTGAGAGACGAGACAATTAAGTTTATTAAGACTCAAAGCAAATCGAGAAACAAGTGAACGCCAAAGACAACGATTATTGAKGGRRRATTTCTCAGAGGAGAACTGACATATTCTCCGACGATACCGTGGCGTTATTAAACAAATGGCGGTAAATATCAATTCTTCTGCTTCAAGAACCTTTGGCAGTTTTAATCTGGTTTAAATTTGCTTTTGAATTTGAAAATCTTCACCTGATACACTTCAAAACTTCTCAATTAAATGAGCTTGTTGACAATGAAAACATGTGTGAATTGTGTACACGTACATKCTATCCACAATAACTTAATAATCTTCTTTGACATGAAACTACTCGGATGTTTTAATTTATAAAACTATGCATTTTGAAAAGAGAGCCTTGATATTATTTGAATGTTCAGATTTTTACTCTTTATTCTTYAATAAACTCTTTAWTACAAACTGTCAACAAATACAGAGAGCAAAGATAAGCAAAGAATTTGAGAAGTTGAAAAATGGATAATATAATATAGTCTCTAAAAATTGGAGTTTTTAAAACTGGTTTACGCAAAAAGTATTTCATATGAGAAGCTCAAAATTGCGAGGAAAGCTTATTGTGCCATGTTGTTCCAATATTCAGTGCTGATTTACTGATTTAGGTTAAAACGTTATATGCTTATGCTAATGATATGTTAATGAACCGAAATGTAAACAAATTATTCGCCTATTGAATTTTCAATATTCAGCGTACATGCTCTTATATTGATAAGAAACCAGTTCTTTTCTAAGCCAATCAAATTATAGGACTATTTTAATCAACTGAATGATATATGAGTTGAATTGAATTTATGATTTATACAATWAATGATTTACACCTAWTTACGAAAACGTTGTCCTGAGATTTAAGGATTTAGGAAAACAAGAATACATTCAAAGACAAAGCATAACCACTGAAGCCGAACACWTTCTTTTGTTTTTYCTAAATAGTAAAAGTTCTTTTTTCTTGGACAACGTTTGTGTAATTAGGTGTATGTATCGAGAACGTACTTTATATAGCTTMTGGATGTGTCGTGCATGCATCCTGACAACCCCTGACAAGTTTCGCATGACGGATCCGCATCATCACCAAAAATGGATAAAACACCACCACAAAAAATAAGGTTTGACATAATCAAAAAAAGCTAATTTCGTGAGTCATTTGCGAACAAGTAATTAATGACCGAAGTATCAATCTTTCTCTTKCCATAAATAAACCATGCGAATAATTCGYTTCGCTGGGATTTTTTTACAAAGATGAATGGCTTTTTACTCTCTTTCGTTTTTGCTTGTGCTTTTCATAATAGTGTATCAAAATTGACCAAAATTTACGATCGGTCGACTTTTCTCGACAAAGCGAACAAAAGCAAGTTTTCGTGGAAATACGATAACAGGCACGATGTGTTGTTTATCGGACTCGAGGTAAAGGCAACAGGATGGGTTGGCTTTGGATTCGCTCATAAGATCTTTCAGATGATGAATTACGATGTAGTTGTTGGCAAAGTGGAGTATGGAAAGGGAACTTTGACCGTAAGTACAAAAGAAAAGTACAATTTTATTTGATAGTTGATTTTAGTAGATACTTAACTTGTTGTCGACTTAATACGTATTGAGACTCTATTGAGCTTAAAAATATATCATGACAAAAATGGCCGGCTGTGGATAYATCGCTCTGAATGAGGGACAGGGTTAATAATAAAGTCATTTATTATATAAACTATGTGAGATACAAGGATTTCTAACACTGAGAAAAWTCGTACTTATCTGACACATGTAATAAAAATGGTATTTCATGGGTATGACGTCGAGAGATGATTAGCCAATCGCTGATCAACATTTGATCACATGACATGTAAGTTTCGCGACACTGTTGTATTTAAAATGGATTCAAAGGAAGAGATCTGAAAACTGAACAGATTTGAAGAAATAGAAGATCATGACATGTAGAAGCTATTATAAACCTCGAAGAAAATGAGAACACAAAGAAAAAAACGACATAGCGATTTTCATCGTCTCCTGAACAATTCACAAAACGAGAGCCGTGATGTACACGAAATACAACCAAATATGCTTGATTCATACATCAGCAAATTCTTATTATCTGTCAGAAAGCGCGAGAGCATAGAGACAACTATGAGCAAACAATGGTTTATTCCTTCGATGAATATCTAAAAAGAATTCACTACGTTGAGTCAGTTTATATCACTGGACATTCGTTTGAACAAGTTACACGCCCTGAAATCCAGGCAATATCATTAAAAAACGAATAAAATACCGAGGGAAGCCTGGGCAATAGATTTGGATTATTAGTCGGGCTAGCCATAGCCTTTTAGACAATGTATCTATCTATCTATCGTGTCGCAGGAAACCCAAATATCACGTGATAAACTAAAGTTAACCATGATACTCCAAGAGATGAAAACAAAATGGCGGACAGACGGCGGCTAACCGGCTAAGAATGTTTTAAATGGTTCTAAAATGTAGCTAAAATGCTCTGAAGAGCTGAAAATCTTACAAAATCAACTGATTAMCATCCAAACGACATGGAATGAGGTGTGTAATTCAAGGTTACCGGATGATTCGTACAGAAATTGATGCATTTCCTACCGCCGACTCGAAGTGTTCGATGTGAATCACAAAATCTTCAAAAATAAGAAATCACACAATTATTCAATGGACTAAAACATATCAAACCTCATCTGAAAAATATTGATGCCATTTTCTAAACGATGTGTTTGAAATTGAAAACTGCAAGTGACATGTGATCTCTGTTTAATCTTATGGTAGATGTGTATTATTAATTCTTTATTAGTCGGGCTCTCTGAGGTCGACTATAGTTCTACCTTTTTACTTAGTTTGAATATTTGACTGATGTACTTTCAATATTGAATATTTTTTTCCGATTTTATTCTAAAAAAAAGAATTATATTGGCGTTTGCTCATCATGAAAGTACAAAAGTGTATCAATCAAACACAATAGAACATTATACTAACATACCTCACTCAATCCTTTCTGTTAACAACTGGGTGATTTGTGAAAATGCGACTAAACATAACCCTCCGACGGAAGGAATTTGCAAAGCAAAACTCGACCGAGTGGAGTAGGCTGCCTGTCATTTTATTCTATCCAAAAAATCGAAGCTAAAACGCAAAGAGAAATTGAAAATCTTTATTAAATAGCTTTTAAATGTCAATCAAATATTTATCGTTATCGAAATAGAATTTTATCTTAAAAATGAAATAACAAATAACTTTTTCTTTAAT